AGAGAGAGAGAGAGAGAGAGGGAGAGAGAGAGAATCCCAAGCGGTTTCACGCTGTCAGCACCAAGCCCAATGTGGGACTTAAACCCACGAACTGTGCAATCATGACCTGAGCTGAAACCAAAAGTCAGACGCTTAACGAAGTGAGTCATCCAGGTGCCCCTGCCTTTTCCATTGGACACGTAGCTCATGGAAAACAGGAACTTGTTATCTTGGTTCCCTGCACAGCAACACCCACGTTACAAACATACAAACATTATTATGTTTTATGAAACCACTGGGATTCATGGTTGTTTATGACCAAGAAACCAACCCTGGAAGATATAAGTTGGAAAAGAACTTAATGTGAAGATACTGCTTAGCTCACAGAATCATATGGAGGCAGTCAGGAAAAGGTCCCGAATCACTCCATGGAACTGTTCATGTGTCACAACTTTGTGCTCTCCATAGGGCACCAGTCACCACAACTCAGCCAACTGGTAGCAGCTCTGACTCAACTGCCTTATATCTTGAGCTGTGACATAAGCTATCCTTTGAAGAAAGGGTTTTATGTATTTAAAAAAATGAAATATATGGTTTGTAAGTTCATGTCCATGGATCTCATAAATTAGTACTTATATTTATACTGAGGCATTTGATAAAAGTCTATCATGTTGCTTTGTTTTGGTAATTAAGGAGCTTTAAAGCTAATATTCATTCATTCATTCATTCATTCATTCAATTATTTGTTCATTCAACAAATATTTATAACATACCTCTCATGTAAAAGGCCCTGCAGAGTCCCATCTCCCTGGGAAGCCCTAGGAAATGTAAGTCACCATGCTCCTGAGAAATGAACAAGGCAGAAATTAGAGTTTCTGTTTTACAGATGAATCACCCAAAGCTCAGAGAAGCCAAATTACTTGCTCACCTGCAGGACCCACAATTTGAACCAAGTCTTCCACTTCTGCGGTCTTAGACTTGCCCATCAGATCAACCGTTACAGAATGCCCAAGCAGGATGTGGTCTGAGAAGAGAGTCCTGAATCTGTCTGCGGGTGACCTTTGAGAAACAATTTGTTTGAATAGGTGAATGTGGTCACCAGAACATAGAGGTTGATTGGTAAATGTGGTGAAGTGAGACCAGCAAGTACAAACCACCTTTTCCAAACATTTGACAGTAAAGGAAATGATTGACAGAATAGTGGATTGAGAAGAAAAAGGTTTGGGAAGGCTGGAACTTGAGCATGATCGTAGGTCGATCCTATGGGGATAAAGTCTTAAAAACAAAAGAGAAAGCATAAGGTATCATGCAGAGAAATATTTTAACACAAAAATTTATTTACGTATTAAAAATTTTTAATGTTCATTTATTTTTGAGAGTGAGGGTAAGAGAGAACATGAGCCAGGGAGGAGTGGAGAGAGAGGGAGACACAGAATCTGAAGCAGGCTCCAGGCTCTGAACTGTCAGCACAGAGCCAGACACGGGGCTCTAACCCACGAACTATGAGATCATGACCTGAGCAGAAGTCACGCTTAACTGTCTGAGCCACCCAGATACCCCCTAACCCAAAAATTTAAACACATACACACACATAATGGGTTCTGGAGCAGTCTGTTCTAGGTTCACATTCTGACTCTGCTACTTACAGTCTCTCTGTGTCTCAGGTTCTAAATCTATGAAACAGTGTGATTGAGACTCTTTGAATTAAGCTTAACAAAGTGTCCTGGACTCACTGCATGCAAGAGTTAGTCCCTCCCCATCCCCCCATCCCTAACTCGCTTCTGCTCTACTCAAAATTCGGGTTGCCACATAAAATACATGCAATATTTGGGGCATACTTTTACTAAGCCATGATTCCTTGTTTACTTGAAGTCTCAATTTAATTGGACACGCTGTTTTTGTTTTCCTAAATCTGGCAACCATACCCAAAATAAAATACATTGTATGCAATGCACCCTGATAGAAGTGGAAGGCCTGTGTAAAGAGATAAAATTGTGGATGGTGCTGCCTCCTACTGGGAGAATGTGGCAACATCAACCATCCCTACACAGACCACACCCTATAGGTGTTTGCTTAAAAATAGCAATCTACACATTCAATGCAATCCCAATCAAAGTTGCCCTGACATTCTTCTCAAAGCTAGAACAAACAATCCTAAAATTTGTATGAAACCACAAAAGACCCCAAATAGCCAAAGTAATATTGAAGAAGAAAACCAAAGCAGGAGACATCACAATCCCAGACTTTAGCCTCTATTACAAAGCTATAATCATCAAGACAGTATGGTATTGGCACAAAAACAGACATATAGACCCAGAATGGAATAGAATAGAGAGCCCAGAATTGGACCTACAAATGTATGGCCAACTAATTTTGACAAAGCAGGAAAGAGTATCCAATGGAAAAAATACAGTCTCTTTAGCAAACTGGGAGAACTGGACAGCAACATGCAGAAGAATGAAGAAGGCCACTTTATTTCACCATACACACACACACACACACACACACACACACACACAAAAACCCTCAAAATGGATAAAAGACCTAAATGTGAGACAGGAAACCATCAAAACCCTAGAGGAGAAAGCAGGCAACAACTTCTTTGACCTCAGCCACAGCAATTTCTTACTCAACACGTCTCCAAAGGCAAGGGAATTAAAAGCAAAAATAAACTTTTGGGACCTCATCAAGATAAAAAGCTTCTGTACTGCAAAGGAAACAATCAACAAAACTAAAAGGCAACCGATGGAATGGGAAAAGATATTTGCAAATGACATATGAGATAAAGGACTAGTATCCAAAATCTATAAAGAACTTACCAAACTCAACACCTGAAAAATAAATAATCCAGTGAAGAAATGGGCAGAAGACAAGAATAGACACTTTTCCAAAGAAGACATCCAGATGGCTAACAGACACATGAAAAGATTCTCAACATCACTCATCATCAGGTAAATACAGATCAAAGCCACACTGAGATATCACCTCACACCGGTCAGAGTGGCTAAAATTAACAACTTAGGCAACAACAGATGTTGGTGAGGATGTGGAGAAACAGGAACCCTCTTGCACTGTTGGTGGGAATGCAAACTGGTGCAGCCACTCTGGAAAACAGTGTGGAGGTTCCTCAAAATATTAAAAATGGCAGTATCCTATGACCCAGCAATAACACTACTA